TTGATACAATGTTATGGTCCTTGAAGGTGAGATCCTCCGACATAATCACTCCCAGGTCTTTGACGTTGGTGTTTCGCTCTATTTTGTGGCCAGAATTTGTTTTGTACTCTGATGAAGATTTAATTTCCTCATGTTTACCATATCTGAGCAGCGATGTATGACCCTGGTAGGTTTAGCGCTTTGTTTTGATCATAATAATAATAATAATCCAAGATGACTCTAGTGTATGTTGTATAAAGGGCCCAGAATGAATTTGCTGAAATTCCTGAAGGCTGTTCTTGTAGATGCAATATCAAATGCCTTCTTGCAATTCCCATCTCTCCTGTTGCATAGCTGTTACTTTGTTAAAGTACTCTTAATAAGATAGATGAGATTTGCCATCGCTGAACCCATGTGTGGAAAATACTGTATATATTTTCCGGAAATACGGTAATTTATAGGTAAATAGATGCCCTATATTGTATTTTTAAAAGAAGTATGTTATCGAAAAAAAGAAGAGACTCGCCATCTTGGTTTTGAATTGTACAAACGTTGGTGTAATGGGAAGAATTTTTCGTGCTCTAGAGGTTAAAATTGTGTTGACACCTCTCAAATAGGAGGCGAAATTGGTGGATGTGCATTCCTGCATAACTTGAGATATCAGGCGACTGGACAAGACAGCTCCAGGAACCTCAGATAAGCTCTCTAGATTTGTGTGTAATTCTGGCCAGCATTATTTTCATAGATTTAGTTAGAGTGAGGTTTTCTGAGTATGATACACATTAATCTCCAGTCAAATTGGTGAGTGATATTAAGATATATTTTCCTTCTGTTGTGTAATTGTGTATATATATAACCATTTATTATTTTTAATATACAGTCCACAAATTTATATATTTACCAGTATTCCTGGTGTATGTATATTTCATTTAATTAATAGGCCCAGAGCAACTTGTGGTTATGAAAGTGGTAGGTATCGAAGGGGGACATTTTGTGCGACCTAGGTGTCCCAAATTCCTACTTTTCTATGTAACACTGATAAATAATAATTATCTTCGTTATCATTTACTGTTATGTACATAATTAGTTACATTCAGATAAGTGCAATTTTCCACACCATGCTCATTATTGTATATGAAACTACTTCTCTCAGTGTTCTACCACTCTCCTTGCTGTATGATCCTTATGGGTTTAGCGCTTGGTTATGATCATAATAAATCTACCAATTCTCCATGGGAAAGTGGAATAGAATTCTTCCTCTGTAAGCCAGTAAGCTATGCGTGTAGTAAGAGGCCACTAAAATGCCGGAAGCAAGGGACTAGTAATCCCTTCTGTGTACATTACTAAATTTAAAATGAGCTTTCATTTTTCTTTTTTGGTCACCCTGCGTCAGTGGATATGGCTGGTACCTGGAGTTTACCAGGAGAGGATTTGGGGATCAACGCCCCCACGGCCTGATCTGTGACCAAGCCTCGTGGTGGCAGGGCTGATCAACGGGCTTTTACTGCTCCCCGCCACAAGCTAAACGTACGAACCACAGCCCGGTTGGTCGGGTACTGACATAGGTGCCTGTCCATGCCTTGTTAAAGACAGCCGGGGGGCTTTTGGGTAATACCCCTTAAAATTTTTCTGAAGGCAATTGAACCTTGGCCCCGACACTATTGTGTTGTCTCTCAGTGTATCGTGGGCCCTGTTTTCATGGGGGGAATGTTGCATCCCCCGAATCTTTTGCTTTCATAGGGATGATTTTCGGTGCGGGTTTGATCCCAGTCCCTCCAGGACCTTCCAAAAAGTTTTTTAAACTGTATCTCTCTCACCTCTTCGGGGGAATACAGATCAAGGACCTTCAACCATTCCCAGTATTTTGGTGCCTTTTATGGACTTATGTGTGCCGTGAAAGTTCTTTGTATACTCTTAGGTCGAAATGCGCCACCCCTTAAAGGGGGGGCGAGTGTATAGCATTTTCTAGCCTAGAGGCAAAACGGGGGGGAAAATTTTTGTTTTTCCGAATATAGGCCTAAAGGTTTTAAATGTGTTGATATGAGGAAAAAAATGTATTTACAATAGGAAAAACCCAAAGGTTCCCTTTGCGCATGCTGATGTGCGGGGGTATAGGTCGAACTGGGCACAAGGGGGGCGGTGTGTTTTTGAATATGTGAGGAGGCGGGAAAGCGGGGCCCCCGGAAATTGGGTTCATGGGGCCAAGGTTAAAAGGGCCTCACTTCATAATGGGAAAGGGGGTCGTACTTTTCCCGGGTGAGAGTGGGGGAAGTGATTTACGGACCACCGAAAAAAAGGGGTAAAATAGGAAAAGGGTTCGCCCGGGGTGTGACGGTGTGCTGCCTGGTGTGGTCCAGGGGGAAATACCCTTGAAAATCCTCACTCATGGGCCTCAGTTTTAAGGGATGACCTCAATGTGTATAAAAATTAGAGACTTAAATCGTCTTTAATGGAAATTAACATGAAATAACTTGAGTTAAGAGAATGGGGATGTGAAAAGATCGCCCGCCCCGATGAACGCTGTTTCTCGTACCGAGGTTTGTGAAGCTTTAGGGAATCACAACTTCAAAAAGGGGAAAAACCGACGGATACCTCTCCTGCTGGAAAAAAAAACCCGTGTCGGTGTAGCAGGACATAAAAAATGAATGGGGAATGGAGGGAAAAAGGAGTACAATCCCCCCACAGTTAAAACCCTTTTATTTTGCAACTGATACGGGCCCAGTTAATATGTTTTAATTGGATTTAGGGGTATCCGCTACATCAATTTTCCCCCAAGAATATGGAAAGGGGGTAAAATTGTACAATTTTTTTTTCCTTGAGATAATCCATGTGTAAACCACCCCCCCCCCTTCTCAGTTAAACTAATATAGTCTATACGTCCCAATTAATTAGTACACCGTACTTTGGTGCTACCAAATCCATACGGTTGATAGATAGGGATAAGATTGTGAGGTCGAAAAACCCATTTCCCGTGACCAGGGGTTTTTAAGTTTTCTCCGGTTCACGGGGTGCTACGGAAAAACCCCATATGGTTGTTCCCAAGAGTTATTTTAAAAGAGGAAATGTTGAGGTACAAAAAGGGTAATCCCCCTAAAAAAATTTTCCATAAGCGGTATTTAAAAGAAAAAATCTAAAAACTCCTGAAACTTTTTTTTATTTGCAATGTATGTATGCATGTCAGAGAAATCATCGTAGTTAAAACTTTCTTTTTTTATATAAAAGGCCAACTTTCGCTGTTGGGGAAAAATTGCATTTATCTGAATGATCATTAATACATAACAGAAAATGAACATAGATAATTTTTATTTATCTTAGACAAGTAGGAATTTTGGGACACCTGGTCGAAAAAATGTCCCCCTTCGAACCTACCACTGTCATATCCACGTTGCTCTGGACCTTTTAATTAAATAAAATAACATCACCAGGAAATTTGGGTAAATAATAAATTTGGGACGTATATTAAAAAATAATAAATGATTAATATACACATAATAATGGGAAAATATCTTAATATCACTCACCAATTTGACTGGATTAAGGGTTATCATACTAAAAAAACCCATTTTCTATCTAAAAAATAACATGGCCAGGTTACTACATAAACTTATTGAGGTTCCTGGAGCGTCTTGTCCAGTCGCCTGATATCCAAGTTTGCAATCCAACAATTTCGTCTCCATTTGAGAGTGCCAGCCCAATTTTAACCTCTAAGCACGAAAAATTTTTCCCTTTACAACAACGTTTCTAATCCAAATTCAAACAAAAGGGCGACTGTCCATCTTTTAAAAAAATCATTTTATTAAATACAATATAGGGCATTTTTTACCAAAAATTTACCGACCCGGGAAAAAATAAAGAATTTCCACGCTTCATCCAGGTCGCGGCAACTTTCCCATACCCTTTGACTTACAGCAGATTATAGCCTGTGGTTGGGACAATTTTCTGCCCCCTTTACAAATCCACAGTCACCTTACGGGTCCCATTGCTTTGATGTACTAGGAAAAAAACACAAAGTTTCTAGCCTCCAATGTTATGTACCTTGAATATTTTTACTCCCTAATTGTACCCCTCTAATTGTGGTTGCGGGAGTCGGACCAGCCCTGTCCGCCTCTACTGATCGCACTGGGTCTTCCCTTCCCTGCCCCAAAGTGCTTATGTATACTGTGCATTTTTATGAAAAATCCCCCTGGTACTTTGGGAACTATTCCCGTAGATGGTAAAACTAGGATGGGTAGGGGTTTTTCCTAAATGCTTTAATTTTATCGCATCCGTACAAAATTTCGAGGGTGTGACAATAGTCCACTGGCAAAGTTTTACATTTCTTTTTGGTCACATCTGGGTGGTTTTAAAAACCGCCAAAGATACTTGTAACCCACCGGAAAGCCGGGCGGTAGTGACCCCCAAGATTGCTTTTTTTTTGGTGCCCCAAAGAAAGGGGCCCCTCCTGCATGATTGAATGATAACAGAGGACTGACTTGGTCAATCTCCTTGGGTCTTAATCAAAAAAATTTCAGTTGAAGTTCTTTGTAACTTGTCAGATTGTGACTAATCTACCGGAGGTCATTCCCTTTGTAACTTCTCTGCTTCCCAAACTTTGGGGTCCAGTCCCTGCCCCCTTATGACCTCTTGCATAAAAAAGTTTTTTTAAACAGCTAAACTCCTTCATTTCAGCTCGGGGCAATGTTTCCCCCTGTCATCAGGAAGCGGGTTAGATAAGGTGTTTAAAACTTCAGGCTTTTGCAAATTTAACTGTAAGGGAAAACAGTAATTTAAAAAAATACTACAGCGGCTGGGAAAAAAGTAGACATGTTTGCTCAGGGGAGTGAGACACCTGCTGTACGGTTTTTGGGCCTAGGTCCGTTTGTTTTGTGTTGGGAATTTAATGTTCCCGTTTCCTCTTTCCCGGTGGAAACTTTGTTTCCTTACTCCCCCCCGCCCACTTTGGACAATACTTTTTCCCGGGATTGGGGGGAGGGGAGGGTTTTAAATAAACCCACATTTACTTTGGTCCCCCAATAACCCCGTGTCAGTCGACTGGTGGGGGGGCTCACTCAGGTGAGGGAATAAATTTATTCGGGTTAAAAGGCACAAAATAGTTACATAAACGATCATACATAGCAGATGTGTAATACCTAGGATAACCCTAAAAGTTAAGGGACTTATTTCCTTGGGGTCCCTTGATTTAATGGGTGCTGTATACCCCTTGTGCTTACGCTTCTTTTTTTTTTAAATAAACACTGGGGGTGTGTAGTAAGTTTTTTTTGGGCACAGGTAAACTAAGTACAATTATCATTATAGCGAAATTACGGGGAAAACCCCCCAAAATAATAAAATTTTATCTAAATAGGAAAACCTAAGAAAACCCAAAAAAAAAAGGGACTATTTTAGGGGGGGGCGTCTGGCGGGGCTGGGTTGCGAGGGGGTCAAACTTGTTTTTTTAGGGAAACGTCTATTTCCCGTTTTTTTTGGGAAAAGTATTGCTATTCCTTTTCTTTCACGTCCCTTTAGGCAGTTTCTTGTACATCAGGAAGTAAGGTTCGAGTGTCTTACTTGTCACGCACTTAAAAACCCAACACGACCAGGGGGAGACTCCAAGTTTTTGGGGGCCAGTAAAGAAAGTTTATTCAAGTAACCCAAAAATACAGTTCATAATTACAACATAGAGCATATGTGGGGAAAACCCTGGGATAACCAAAAAAGTCAACAGAGTGATTGTTCCTTTGGGGGTCCTTTTACCTTATTTTAAAAATAATAATATAATAAAAAAATTTTCTTTTTACTACAAGACATTACAAGGAAACTCCTGCTGAAACAATGACATCTACTATATAGAAAGTCCCTTGTTATCCCCCGCATTTCAGGAAAATTAGGTCATGCCCCAAGATGCGACCCACCCAGTCGAAAATCCCCGGGTCCCCCTTTACTGAGGGGGAACAAGAAAAAGGGAAAGAAACACGCCCCAATGTTTCTCTTGGGGGGAATTAAACCCCGGGCCCTCGCCGTGTGAAGCAAGAGCGAAACCCCCAGCCACCAGTTTATAAAATTTTTTTTTTCATAATGAAGATAATATCTTACATCATAAAAAAAGACTATCTAAAATACAAGGGCATTACGAAAAAAAGGGAAAAATTACCCTTGGTTAGCTAAAAAAATAAAAAATTTTTTCCCCTCCTTTTCTGTACTACATTCATAGGTACCTTTTGGACTTTCTTAAACTGTTCATGCTTGACGGGCTTTGTCATGTGCGGGCATCTTTTCCCATCCAAACATCATAATACCCCATACAAAAAATAAAATCTCTTATACAAAGTGAAGAACATAAAAGACTGGAAAACAACTTAATAACCAGTTCATTACTATTCTCTCCAAAAGAAAAACTGAACAAGAAAACTATCGGACGCAGAATATTTAACACCCACTTTTTCCCAGTGTAGAACCAAACAAAGTAAAGAAATTACTCTCCAGATCAAAAAGGGGACCAAACAAAGTTACAGTCCAAAGGTCAGAAATAAAGAAGCCAGGTTACAGGATCCCATATTAGAAAAAGTGTTATACTAGTTTCCCCAACTCAAAAGACGGGAAAAAAGACAAAATAATTGTACTATTAAAGAAAGAAAGAGTAACATAAAGAGTGCTTACCAAAAAACGTAGAACCTCCTGAAGAGTCAGAAAACTTAAGGGGGAAAATAATGACACAATACTAAATGCCACAGGGGATGGGAAAATTTCTAGTTAGGAAAACAAATTTAAGGTCCTGTACAAAATCCGAACAAATATCTATCACGATTTCTCAGGGATACAAAATTTGCAAGAATAATAAAAAATGCCCAAACCCTAAAAGCCTACGGTTGGTATGTTTTGCTCCATTATTGTTCAAATTCATAGACAATCTCTTAGTAATTAAAAAACAACTACCTCATTATGTGGTTTTTCTAGTAAGCATAAATCACCTTTTTTAATTTTCATATTTACTATGTTTGCTTAAAAAATTATGAAAATTTATACTTTCTCTTCCAATTATACCTTAAATTTTTTTTAAAAACTATTAACTGATATACTTACAAAAAATTAAAAATTAAATTTCCTTTTTACTATCAGTACAATTTTCTCTTTAAAATTTTTTGACAAACTTTTTAAATTACCATTTCTTTTCTAATTACCATAACCTGTTTTAATACTCACCCCAACCAAATAAATACTGAATAATTGTATCTTATAAATTGATATCTAAATGTTTCTCATAAATTTTATCACAGAAAATTTAACCCGAACCCCAATAAACTTTATTTTTTAATTACATTACCTAACAGAATACTTTTCACTGAAGTACAGCAATGCATGCAACCCCATGACCTGTCTTTGTAATACCCCTGAGCTTTAAATTTTTAACTGTTTACAATAATGTTTGGAATGCTAGTTAATCCAAGTTAATTTTAACCGCCCCTAAATGCCGCATAAAGGGGCTTTGGCATCTGCACTCAATCGTATTTTTTTGTACTTTCTGTATAGTTTTAAAATTAAAAATAAATAAATAAATAAATAAAAATAAATACCACATTTACTATCTTAAAATACCTTAAAAAACCTTGACTGCCAAATAACCCTCGTATAACACCAGTGCAATATTTAACCCAAAAAACTTTCTTAAAATTTAAACTTAAATAAACTTTTTTTTTCACTTTTTTCTTTTTTTTTTTTTTTTTTTTTTCTAATTTTTTTTGTAATATTATTACTTACAAAATTTTATAAAAACCAATTTCTACCATCAATTTTTCTTTTGTAAATTAAAACATTATTTTTTACTTTTCATAACATTTTGTTGCCAAAATTTCAAGTTTTTTATATTCAACTCCAACCTTTATATTATCCTTTTTACCTGGTACCTGTTACCCTCTTACTATCAAAATAACCAAATCATTGCCATGGTTATTTTTTTCTTTTATTCTTTTGGTACTTTAAATTTTTGAATTTTATTTTGTCAATTTTAAAAACTATTATACTCTTTTTCTTGTTAAAAAACCTATATCAGACCCTAGTGCAATTGCAAACCTTTTAATTGAATTTTTTTTATTTAAGTTTATACCTATTGTACTGTAGCCATTCTAGTCAAAACTAAAAACACCTAAACTAACATACCTATTTTACTTTTGTCATTCAGTCAATACATAACAAAAACTAAATTTTTATTATATTAGACCTTTGTGCAATTCAAGGTGAGTCTGGTGCCCCTTTAAATTATTTTTTTTTTTTTTTTAAAATATTAGTTTATACCTATTTTTCTTTTGCTCATTCGCACAACACATGACAAAAATTAAAATTGTTTATTAGTGACTATACCTATGTGACCAAGTCTTTAGCGTATACTTTTTCCAAAACCCCCCACCCCTACAAAATCAGTATTAGAACTCGACATAATACAAATATAAACAACCACTATTTAAACCGAAAGATGAATGTCTGTTGACCCCTTTTCAAACCCCCCAAAATCTAACAACAATTTAAAACTTATTGGAAATAACCTGCCTTTATTGCACAGCATCACAACCGCACTATCCTGAACACTGCTCAAGTCAAACATTTTTAACTACAACAAGGTCCTAAACAAACACTAGATGACCTCCTGGCACTCCTTGAGTCATAAAAACACCTTTCCGCATATCTTACTGATCCGGCTTAAAAAAGGACACAATTTATTCTCCCATACCAATACACAGCAATCCACAAATCCGACCAACCAATTGGGGGGGGTCTGCAATCTATTACTCAGCCCAAAATCTTGTATTAGCATAATTCTTTTGTGATAATATGGGGGGAAAGCATTTTTGCTATTTTTAACCGTAAAAAACCTCAAAACGCCAAAAACAACGGTGCCATATCCGGGAAACCCCCCACAAACATTCCAAACTTCATGAGAATCAAAGTCATAATAAAAAAACAGACAAAAAGAAAAGCACCACCTTCTCTTAGCTGGAGACTTCAAAATCAAACCCTTGGCCTACCAATGATCAGACGGAACTGATTTATCAACAATTTTAAAAACAACCCTTACCAAAAATAACTAAACCCAAACCGGGGTGACTGAGACAAGTTGCAACCATAATGCCCAATGGGCCAATAACTACCCCCCTTAAATCAGGGGTAACACAGACGCACATGACCACACCCAACCTTCCTCTTAACAAACATTAGTAAAACCACCCTCGTTACAAAAAAGTTTCATTTTGACTCCATATGAGGCCTCAATAAGGAATTTACGCAGAAACCCAGAGAGTTGACTGGCTACAAATTCTCCAATCCAAGGTTGACGATTGGACGACTTTTTCTTAACAAAAAAATTAATTATACAACAAACATTTTCCTATAAAAACGAAACAGACACGAATAAATGGCTTTGGGTTTCCCATGGCTAACCCAGATTCTGAAAACCATTGATAAAAACCCAAAAAAAAGCAATATAACGGTTAAAAACACAAAGAATTTTTAAGCAATTTCAACAGTTCTCACCAAAATTTAATGAAGAAAGCAAAACAACTTTTACTACTCCGCAAAACGCGAACAAGAGGAATAAAAAAAGCCTGGGAAAAAACTTTCCCGATTTTGGGGGCCCACAAAATGAAAAAAACCAAGAATATTTTCTAACAAACCCCATGGAACACCACTGCATCCCAATATACAGCTAAAAAAATAAACAATTTTTCTCAAACATAGGATCTAATCTCGCCGTAAAATTTCCCCCGCCAAAGCCCCTGCCGGGGGCTACCTAAGGGATTTCCCAAAATCCTTCTATTTTACCAACTGAGCCCCGGGAATCACCACCAGATCATAAAGTCCCTTAAAAAAAAACTCTGGAATCTGTCTACCCCCATTTTTGTACAAGCAGCAGCCCCTGTCCTTTCTCATGCTGTTACATTACTTTTTAAGAAGTCACTAAAACAGCCTTTCCAAAACACTCAAGACAGCAAGGGTTTCACAATCATAAAGGTGGTGACCCCAGACTAAAAAACTAAAGGCCAATATCAAACTTACCCTTGTATCCAAAATCTTCGAAAACCGTGACAGGAG